TTAAAAATAACGTTTGCTTGAAATTCTAAGGAAATCTATGCAAATTAAGAAAATTCTTTTTTGGGTTGTTTTTGTTTATTTTAAGAAAATATTTGAATTAAAATTAATGAAATAACTAAACTTAGTTTTAATTAATTAACAAAATGATTGATTATTAATGAAAATAAAAACTAATAAAAGAAGGTTAATTCTACATGTTTTTTTTTTATTTATTAAGAAAAAGATTTGCAACCTAAATCTAATTAATTTTAAAATGAAATAAAAAGTCAAAATAATTAAATTAATTAATTTATTAAAGTTTAGTTAAAAACCCAAATCTACATTTTTTAATGATTTTTCTGATTTTATGATTATAATTAAAAAAAGATTAAAAAGGAATAAATAATTAAAACAAAAAAAAGAAAGTAGCATGGATCTAGTATTAGAAGCAGAAATTGGGGTGTAACTTGAATTTGTCAAGCCCAATCCATAAAAGCCCAGGCGCTCAAAAAACCCCCCTTAAAGAGATGCTCTGAGTCCGAATCCGGCATTAGTTTTTGCTAAAGGTCTATGAATTTTGTGTTTCGAAGCCAAGCTTCTGATCGGGGTTGAAAATGGAATCTCATGAACCAGGCCTCAAAACTTACATGCTTCACGTCCAACCTACTCTATATACGACTACAAACATGTATGCAAACGTCAAATGGATTAATAAATGCAGATTAACGAGATTAGATTTAAATAAACTATACCAAACAGTGCAACTTGTATGATCGACTCGGATGTGCTTCAGGCCAACGTGAGGGATGGAAATGACTCTTGGGGACCTCAGGAGTGCAAAGCTGGCACGAGATTGAATGGAGGAAGGCTGGAAATCAGGTTTTGAATCTTCACAACCTTTGAACAATTTTGAGAATTTCGAGAGCTTTTTCCAAGTGATGATTTCGTGTCCTTTCTTGCTTGCAATGTTATACATTTATAGAGTTAGGAGAAAAGCAAGTATGGCAAGAAATAAAGCTTTCAAGGCCATGTGAGAAAAATCCAACATATTGAAAGTTTGTCATATTTGGATGATTCTTGCCATTCTTGATGGTGCATGAACATGGACAGTTTTTTGTTGTTCTTTGCACGAAATATTAAGCTCCATGATGGGTCAAGTCAAGCCCAAATGCCCTAGCCCATAATTTTTTGTATTTTTTTATCTTATTTATTTAATTTAATTCATATTTAAATGAATAAAAATTTAAATAAATAAAAATAAAAATCACAATAGTGCATGGTTAGGTTTAGAGGTCCTTGGGTATGTCATAAACATGTTTGAACCCTAAAAGTTAGGTTCGTTAACCTAAAAATGCAATTTTGCTCAAAGTTGACTTCATGCATTTCTTGAAAATTGCCCAACTTGCGCACCTCATTACTTTCTCAATTTTCATCTTTTAAAGTTGATCTTGGACTTTTTGGAAATTCCAAGATGTCCCCTTAAATCTCTATGTTCATCATTTTTGCTTTTGGATATATTACCTTGATGTAAGTTTCCTTGACAAAAAGTGTCTTTTGTTGACTTTTGAAAATGACCTATAATGTATGAGATCATATCTTTCAAATGAAGCATTTTTTGCACTTGAGAACGATAACAAAGTTGTAGAAAATTGAATTTTATCCAAAATGGGCTTTGGTTGGGGAAATTTTGATGAAGAATGTGAAAGTTATGCTTGGTCAAAGTTCAGTTGACTTCTCCCAAGGAAACCCTAATTTGACAAGTCTTAACTTTTGATGATCTGAGGTCTTTCCTTGGGGAATCATGATCAATCCCTGATCAAATGATGAATATAACTTCAAAATGTTGATGTTGACCAAAAATCTTAAAGTTTGACTGTATGTTAACCATAGTTGACTTTTTGATCAATATAATTGGTTTTCAAGCATCTGAGCCATTGACTGAGCAAACTTGTGATGTAGGGATTGAAACTTGACATGATCCTTGTTGAGGATCTATGAAGAAATATGTGAGCCACTTGAGACTTTTGCAGATCAAATTTCCTTTAGAAACTCAAAACCCTAGTTGTAGGCTTTTGGTCTAGGAGGTGCATCTTGACTAGTCAACCCTTAGGTGCCTTGACCATTTGAAGAGCCTTGAAAGAATGTTTTAAATAAAAATGGGAGGGAAAATTTTGGGGTACAACAGTCATATGTGGTCCACTACAAATTTCACAACCTGCCTTGTGTGCCTGTTGAACTTGAGCTAAATGTTGAGTACCCATGTTCATTGCTTTTAGTTTTCTCTGCACTTCTGCAACAATAGGCTCTTTAATTTTTAGTTGCTTGTTAACTTCTAACTTTAGATCAATCTCCCCCTCTGGTTTACTTACAACCCTGTCATACAGCTCCAGATGCTCATTTGCAATAATGGCTTCAATAATCTTCTTCACACCAGTGCCTGTTGTAAAGTTGGTTGAGCCACCGACTACTGTATCAATAAGCTGCTTTATCTTCATTCGGAGGCCATTAACAAACATCTGCATTTGATCAATTTGATCCATATTGTGAGTGGAACAAGTTACCAATAACCTCTTGAACCTCTTGTAAGCATCATATAGCGAATCTCCTTCTTTCTTCTTAAAATCAAATTTTCATATCTTTTGCGAATGTAAACAGAAACAGGAAAGTATTCGTCAAGAAATGTCTTCTCCATCTCTTCCCAAGTATTAATACTCCCAACAGGTAATGAATAGAACCACTCTTCAGCATCTTCAAATAGGGTAAATAGAAACGTTCTTAGTTTCTTTACTTCATCCGTATGCCCATCAATCTTCAATGTGGTACTCATGGTCAAAAATCTCTGCAAGTGTTTATTGGCATCTTCATTGACCTTTGCGGTGAAAGATCTTTTCTCAAGCTGAGTGATTGTGCTCGGATGCAGTTGAAAATTTGGAACATTCACCGGATGATTTACAATTGTCAACCTTCCATCCAGTGTATTTGCCCCACCATAATCACCAAGAAGTCTCTTTGGTGGATCTTCAGCCATTGGTTTTTCCTTTTCAGACTCTGAACCTGAATTATCTTATGAACCTTCTCCAGTCTAACTAACCGAGCTTGTCTGCGTGTTGCGTGAAAAGTCCTTTCAATTTCTGCGTCAAAAGTAAATTCAATTGAGGGCTTTCCTTGCATGCAAAGGTTAGAAAATTTTTTTTAAAAAATTACAGAAAAGAAATTTTAGTTGCAGAGCAAACAAATTCTAATTGAACTACTATTGAACTTAATAATTTGGCAGTTCCCGATAACGGTGACAAAAACTTGATCGGCAAATTAGCAAGTGTACTAATTTGCCAATGTAGTAATAATGGGAAATCCTAAAGTGTCGATCTTAAGGACTGCGTATCAGTATCTAGTTCAATGTGTGGTTCAATTAAACAAAAATTAAATTGTGGTTTTCGTTTGAAAATTGTCACTTAACCAATAGCAGAAAATATAAATAGGCTTTTCACTAATATGAGGAGCATGTTAGAGGTAAGTGTGTGATTTTCCCCTGTAATAACATTTACTCTTAATTTCTTCAACAAGTTCATTACATTGAACTATCGAATCTTAAGTTTGTTTTCCCCTAAGTCCTTAGTGGGAAAACCTTTGGTCATTCATCCTAATATCTAAGTCCTTAGAGAATTATGATGAAGCCAAACATTTACTTTATCAAGATTTTACTGGTAACATATAGGGTATCCCTAGTCCTAGGTGATATCTACTATAGTCTAATCATTCAAAAACCTTAACAATAGCGGGCCAACCCTAATTGTTAACTGTGAATCAATCTCTATTGGTCCGATAGGAAAAACATAAGAACATTGAGCAATTAAGTTGAAAATAAACTACTGTATCAAAATCAAGAATTCAAAATCATTATATTTTCAAATCAGGGACACTCCCTAGTATTGGGGGGTTTAGTCTCTTATAGTATTAAAAATAAAAGCAATAAAAAAATTAGACATTACAAAAGGTATGTAAATTCTTCGATCTTCAATTGCTATCGCTTATGAAGGAATCTCCGTCTCCAAATCTCTTGAAAGCACAAATCTTTATCGTTCCTAATCTTCTCCAGTCAAAAGTTTCCCATTCATCGTGGCAACTCCTCTCAAATAGTCAAAAGGTATGTAAATTCTCCGATCTTCAATTGCTATCGCTCATGAAGGAATCTCCGTCTCTAAATCTCTTGAAAGCACCAATCTTTATCGTTCCTAATCTTCTCCAGTCAAAAGTTTCCCGTTCATCGTGGCAAGGCCTCTAAAATAGCAAAAACTCATTTAGGTCGGTTTGAAATACCCAAAACACTGTCACATGCCAACTAATGAACAAAATAATCCGAAATACTGAAATCAGCGTCACAACCCAACACGAGTTTTGTCAGGCAACACAGGTGCCCGTGTTAGACCTTTGGCAATTTAATTCTTGAATTCTTGTTTCAGGCACCCCGACACGGGCGCCCGTGTCACACCCCTGACTTCCCTTATTCCTGACTCTCGTCTTGACTATCATCCTGACACGGCCTGTGTCAGGCCTCCTATAAGTGAATATTTGTATCTCTTCCGAAACTTCGAGTTTTACACCGATTTGTCCCGATTTATTATTTTGAACCTGAAAATATTAAAACACAAAACCAACGTATAAAAAGTGGTAAACTGAAATAAAATATGCGATAATAATAAAAAAAAGAATACCATAAAACAATAGTAAATATTTGCTTAAAAATTACTTATCACAAGTCACTAAAAGTCCGCCATACTACATAATAAGGTGCCACACATTTTTTGTTTTCAATTGATTAATTATGGTATTTATTGAATTAGTGGAGTTGATAAATGAAAATTTTTGGATTGGAAAGTTGGGAGATGCAATATTTGTGTTAGTTAAGTGATAAAAAAGAGGAAGAAGGGAGGTGTATAATAAAAAAGAGGGTGTAAAAAGAAGAAAAAAAGAGGTGGTGAATAAAAAGAAGAAAAAAGGGAATTGGAAATGAAAATAGGAGAATGCCGAAGAGGACGACGCATACATACTCAAGCGAGGATGCGGCTCCGGAAGGTCCAAAGTCGGATCTGTTTGTTTATTACTGCAAACACTGCGGTTGCCATGTACTGATCACTGGTTAGTTGTTGAATCTGTGTTTTATCGAATAATTGATTGCAGAAAGTAACTAACCTAGAAACCGAAAAAGACACCCAATTGCAGAAAATGCCTAGAAGAAAGACGGACAGATCGTACGTGTTAGACAAGAGCAAACATCTAGCTAGATTCAACATTGAGGAGGCTGGTAACGTTGTGTTAAAGCGAGGGGAAGGCAAAGTCGAGAAACAGTTCCGCATGAATTGTATTGGCTGTGGTCTCTTTGTTTGCTATCGTTCTCAACATGATTTGGATTCTTCCACTTTTATTTATGTACTTGACAAAGCACTCAGTACTGTCGCTGCTGAAACCAACCCACAGGATGCACCTGTTCCGCCTTGTATTTCTCATCTTGAAGGTGGACTTGTTCAACTTGCTATTCAGGTTGAGGATCGTGCTCACCGCTCCGCCATCACAAGAGTCAATGCCGATGATGTTCGTGTCTCTGTAGCTGCTCCCGCCGCACGTGGAGAAGCTAACTATGAACTTTTGGAGTTTATGGGGAAAGTATATCTCTCTCTTTCTTGCAACCTTGTTTCATTGCTTATCAATCACAACACATGATTCATTCTTTTTTATATATAGGTTTTGGGTTTAAGATTGAGTCAAATGACTCTTCAGAGAGGATGGAATAATAAGTCTAAGCTTCTTGTGGTGAGTCACATTACTATCAACCATCCCTTCCAGTTATTTCTCAACAAACAAGTTTATATGATTTTTGACTATCATTTCAGGTGGAGGATTTGACTGCTAGGCAAGTTTATGAGAAACTTTTGGAGGCTGTGCAACCTTGATGCTGTTGCTCTGCACATTTCTTCTTTTATCAACAAAAACAAGTTTAGGGTTTGAATTTCACCTGTTTTTATTTTATCTTATTAAGAGACACCATTGTTCTATTAATGTTGGAAATGTAACAATTGAGTGGGATTGAATTGAAACATAACCAGATATGTTTTGAATGTGAAAACTGTTAAAAGTCTACATTGTGATTGAAATTTGAAAGACTGTTAATGGAGTGAGCAAAATTGTTCTTGTGGGTGTGGATTGGAGGAGAGGACTAGTGTTGGGAACAAAAGTTGTTGTGGTGTATGATAAATATGGTTCAAGAGGTTTTGTTTATAAGGAGAAAGGGTTTTTAAAGTCTATGGTCTTTTGGAAGCTCTCCAATGGTTCCTGAATTTGATATTTTCCATCATGTTATTCGAGGTTGATTGCAAGTTAGTAGCTAATAGTATCAATCACCTTAAGCGTCATATTTCATCTTTTGGTCTTATTATTGAGGACTTTATTGATCTTATTTTCATTTTTGCAAACTCCAGACTTACTTCAAAGACAGCGAATAATGTCTTTAATCTTGGTAAGGAAGCTCTATCATATTGTTTACAAGTTAATGCCTTCAACCTCTAGAGATAACTTCTGCCTTTAATTTCATATGCAACAACAAGATTTGGAAATGCTTCGGTTTAAATTAAATTGAGCACCCTTTAGTGTGATAAAGGGTCGTTAATGGAATGTTTTTGTTTTACTCCAACTCATAGATGATGTTTCACACAATTACTATTTTTTTATTCTTTTCCAAAGATTGACTGTGATGTTAAAATTAAACCATTGAAACACTCCAAAGCTTAATTTTTTTTGTAACATATCGATATTAAAATTCTTTTTAAGGAATTAATTTATATAGTGTCATTTCACACTAAATTATAAACGATTGAATACGTATTTTTGAAATTTAATATATCAAAATTTGGCTGTATATCAAAATTAAACTCTTCATATAAATTAAAGTATTCTAATATTAAAATTAGGGGTGGTAAATTGACTAGGGTTATACCTTACACCCCTACTCTTTCAACAATTTGACCAAAATACTATTTTTACAACAAAAAAGTTAAAACGTATAATTAAAAATATAATTTCAAAATTTTCAAAAATTAAAGGATAATTTCATATTTTTTGTGGACTTGCTCGGACATTTCTTGTTATCAATTTTTTTTTATTTAGTTAAGGAATATCTAGTAATTTTATATATTTTTATCAGAATTTTATAAGTTAGTCTAAAAATGTTGTTTTTTTACCGCTTTTTTAAATGTTTTATAGATTTGTATTTGTCAACCGTATAATATTTGACAACCTGTAGTGATTAAAGATTATCAGAGATTTTAGGTTTACTTGTGGTATTAAAGCAAACTCACAGAGAGATATCAAAAATTTTGTATACAATATTTTGTGTAGTGAATTGTCCTCTCCTCAACCTTAGGGTTGAGATATTTATAGAAATCTTTGAGACTCGTACTCTCAGGAAGCAGCAACAATTTCTAGGTGCGGAGAAAGTGGACAGTCTCACTTGTTTCTCTTGAGTTTCTAATTTTATTTATTTCTATCTTGAATGATTTATTGATTTCTTCAAGAGACTTTAAAGACTCTTTAGTAGCTAAGTTGAGTTCTTTTAATTAATTATTTTTTAAATTACTTGAGTCTCAGTTGTTTGTAAGATGATTTAGTTACCTGGACAATATCTACCTCGCAGGTTGCCTTTAAGAAAACTTCCTCTTCTTCGTTGGAAGAAGATTCATTTGTATTTCTCTCTGGGGTTGATGTATCCCCTCTGCTTCTTCGTTCAAATATTAAAGAAACTTCTTCTTCTTCATCCTTTTTTGAACAACGAGTTCCTTCGTTATATGTTGAATCTTCTGATGATCGTTCAACTACTGAATATGTCCGTTCGAAGGATTCTACCAGAGTTACATGATATGAGTATTATGAAGTTAATGATTCTTTCGTTTTTGTTTCTTCATTTTATAACAATTGAACTGATTCGTTCAATTTCTCTATAATTTCCATCTTTCTTGATTTTTCATGAAATTCATGAAGGCCCCATCTTTTGATTTAAGAATTGGATTAAAATTCCAATTCTTAATTCTTAGATATTGGTTAGTTAGAAACATTCCAATATAACTTTCAATATTTATCGAGGTGTCAACGAGGTGGATCCTCAAACGTCAACTGAGGGAAATCCCCAAACGTCATTCAAGGTGAATGCATGCGAGGTATTAAATTCGATCAATGGTGATTTAGTCTAGGGGTGTCAAATTGGCCTTAATCTCTCACACGTGTCAAAAGAGTACAAAGTCGTTCGTGTCTGATGGGAAACCTAGGAGACCATTGGTTATCCCTAATCTCTAAATCTCTATAGAAGGGGTTCAACCCTAACTTTCTTTCCTTTTAGCACATTTTCGTCTCAGATATCCTTGAAAGCTTTATCTTCATCCTTCACGAGTCCATTAGTCTTCTTAAGTTCAAGTCCAAGTTTACAGGTACATGTTCGATACCACATCTTCTCCTTATACCGTTTATGACAAAATTAAGGATTTAGGCGAGAGTGGCAGGCAACCTAGTGAAAACTTCGACTCATAATGAGAGAGTGGTCATGTAGAATCACTACTATAGAAACACAAAATATCCTAACAATTGCCTACAAAGTGATGGAGTAAGACATGTTTGGGAGTTGTGAGAGTTCTATTAGCTCTAATTGTGGTGGTAATTATAATGACTTCTTTTTCATATTTGTTTCCTTAGAAACAAGAAACTAATGACCGCCCCTAACCTTGAGCGCAATGATGTCTAAGATTTCAAATCCCATTACGTCATTAAAGAAAAGATAGCATTCTTTTGACAGCTAGTGAACCTTTCTTCTTTGGGTGATGAAGAAATCATCCTAGAGGTGTGTTCTACCACGGAGAGAGCAAATATGGCTTTTTCTGATGTTTTCTCATCGCTTATTTCTACCTTCACCTCTCCTTTGTTTGTGACATAAGGGTTCAAGTTCCTTTTTCTTCGTTTGAGGTAGAGGTTTTAAAAGTGATGAACGTCGCCTCGACCCAAATCTCGCCCAATGGTTGCAGCTTGATACAGGCGTTTTGGATTTTATACCAGTGTTCATGGGTTCATCCCACCATATGAATGTTCTTCTTCTTCTTTTATGGCACTAAGAAGGTGTTACAGGGGTTGGATAACTTTAGACGCCTTGCTTGGAAGAGATGTGTTCAAACCATACTCTAACTATTACAAAAATGGGAAAGAGAAGTTTATGAGGGTGATAATGCGAAATAATACCTTTATGGTCACCACTGGCGTGAACGACGCCCCTTGTTTTCCCCTAGTCTGGACAGACAATCCAATGGTGATCGCGGGGTATGAATTCGACTACCCCACACTTCACGAGATGAAGGTAGTCCAACTTCTAAATGACTATGAGGTCATGGAGTTTCGCACCGTGATCATGTTGGACTAGGGGGTGATGATAACATGACTAAATATTTGAGTATGTTCGATGTCTTATGGGCCCATATTTGAGATTTTTGCTAGTCATGATACTCATATTTGTTTTTTTTTTTTGCATATAAAATGTCAAAAACTACTTTGGTCGAACAGAAGGAGCGTTTGGCCAAGAAAAGGTAGAGCGCCCATGATTAAGTAATCTGCATAGTCGCCCAGATGAGTTGAATTCCAAAGGAACTAAGAGGCACTTCGAAGACGACACACCTTCTAAACCTCGTGCTTCTAAAGTCTAAAAACAAGATGTGGGATATTCCCCCACCCCACAGGGTAAGACGATCTGAATCCTTGAATCTAATGGGCTTGGTGGACATCTATCGCCTGCAAAGAACAATTTGCCTCCTCGGTTCTCAACTATCATCTTATTAGTTAGGGTTTCACTACAACCCTTCATGAGATGGACGAGATTCTGCACCTTCGACATATAGTCCGTAATCTTTTCATCTTCTCCCATCTACAATAATTCATACTGCCGTCGTAAAATATGCAATTTAATGACTTTGACTTTCTCACCTCCTTCATAATACTTGACAAGAAGATCCCATTGTCTCCTTCATCGATTCAGCATGACCCTATTTAAAACCATAAGACAACTCTAGTGAATAGGAAGAGAAAAAGACACTCTTAGAAGTGAAGTCTTGGTGATTAGATGAAGTCTTAAATAGACATGCATAGTTGTATGAAGAATGATGTATGTACCGACATGTATGTATGAAAGAAACGTAGCATCCCCGAGAGTTGACACGAATAGCACATATATTTGTAAAATCCACGTCACGTGTGTTGAGAGAAGAGAAAGCTTGTATAATTAGTCCTTACAAAAATCCGGAAGCGAGACAAGTTTTGAGTTTGAGTTTGAGTGGCAATGAATTATTCTGTACAGTGTACTCACTCAATCATCCATACTCCCCTGAATCTTAACCGATTACGTTTCCTCCTTCCGTCTTCCATCCACCACCGCTATCGACACCCTCCTCCCCGCACTCTGCTCGTATCAGCTGTCTCCTCCCCCCAAAAACAATCTAGGTTTTCAACTCTTTTACCTTGTTCTATTTCAATCTTGTTATTCTATAGTATTTCTCAATTATCATGTCAATTTCAGGAAAGGTGGAAAAGACAACAACACTACAAACAAAGATGATGTTCATCTGCATCTTCGATTAGATCACCAAGTTGAGTTCGGTGAACATGTTGCCCTTCTAGGATCATCCAAACAGTTGGGTTCCTGGAAGACTAATGTTCCACTCAATTGGACACCAAATGGATGGGTCTGCGACTTCCATTTCAACGCTGGCGATCACATTGAATTCAAATTCATCATTGTCAACCAACACGGCACTCTACTTTGGGAATCTGGACACAATAGAGTCTTGAACTTGCCTCAGCCTGGCAATTTTCACACCGTTGCCACATGGAACACAACACACCAGGTTATCGACCTATTGCCTTTCGATCA